CAAGGAACCTCAAGCGGGGAGGTACGGTCTAGGGCTTTGGGTTTAGAGCTTAGGGCTTAGATCAAAGAGCAAGGGAGATTCTAGATACCTCCACGTCAGGACAGGCTTGGATCTCTTCTTTGAACAAAACAGTACCAATCGCCAAGGTACCTTTGAAGACCTCAAGCAGTACATCTAAAGCCAAAACCCCAGACACTTGGGGCTAAGGCAAGCTAAGGGTCTGGGGTTGGGATCCTGATTGGGTTTTGTTTTAAGGGGGTTTAATTTAGGGCTTTTTGGGTTTAGGGTTGAAGGGGGTTTAATTTAGGGCTGTTAGGGTTTAGGATTTAGGGTTCCGGGGGTTTGGGGTTTAGGGGTTTGGGGTTTAGGGGATCTCCATGTTCATGGTAAGTGCAGCGTTGGTCGCAATCAAGCAATTCCAGCGCGAGCTGCCAGCGGCAGCCACGGTCACAGGCAGAAATGGCACCGCTGTAACTCACGACATTCCTCGTTTTTGGCTTGGGGTTTAGAGTCCTTGTTTGAAACCGGACTTGGCGACTGCCTAAACCCTCAACCCTCTAGGGCCCGAAACTATATATAAACCCTCAACCCTACATGCTCGGAGTCGTTCTGAAGGTCTGCAGGGAGAAGGCTTAGGATGAAGGTTGGGACTTTCACTTCTCTTGCTCGGAGGGCTGAGGAAAGGCTAACTTTCGAGGCCTGAATAAGTAGATTGGGGTTTAGGGTACAGGGTCTGGTATGCTGTAACCGTATAGCATATGGAGCCTCATTCAACAACACGGGCTTTGGGGTATGCTCTATATATATATACATATATATATACACATATCTTGTCTTGGGAGGGCACCTGGACGTAGCCGGTGAGTGCAATTTTGCTCGACGCTGTAACAGACGCTTGTCTCCCTTGCCCTGCGTGTCCTAGCAAAAGCCTCACTGCCAAGAACTGCCAGGGTCAGGCCTCTAAACTCTCAACCCTACCACCTACACCCTTAACCCTAAACTCTTGACCCTAAACCCTTGGCCCTTCTGAAATTCCAAACCCGGAACCCTACGACCTAAACCCTCAACCCTTGACCCTAAACCCTAAGCCCTCCCGTTCTTACCAGAAGCAGCCGGAGATTCGGCGTGGAGCTTGTCTCGCCCATGCCGAAAAGAAGCGCCAAGGCTCGTTCCCACTGCCCTCCTGTGGGGTTTAGGGGTTCTTTCCCCTTAGGGTTTCGGGTTTGGGTTTAGGGTTTAGGGTTTGGGTGTTGGGTTAGGGTTTAGGAAATTAGTCATTTAGGGATTGTGAAGGTACTTGTTCCGCTCTGGAGGGGGGATTTGAAAAACTACATGTCAACCTTTACGAGCGCATAGGGACTACAATGTTACAAAGGCTGAACCGCAAGCTAAAAGCTTGCTTTCTCTAAGGTCTCCACTCGCACAAACCCTAAACCCTAAACCACAAAAGCTTGCTTTCTCTAACTAAGACTCCACTCTCACAGGCGCTGATGGCGCTACTGTAAGAGATGACGCTCCGGCTCAGACGAAGTGTCGAGATGCTCCCCAGCATCTCCTTGGTTCTGGTCTAGGGTTCAAATTGTTTAAGCACGGTTTTTTCCCGGTTTAGGGTTTGGGGTTTCGACTCACTTAGCATTTAGGGTTACGGGTTTAGGGTTGAAGGGTTTAAGGGTTTAAGGGTATTGGTCTCGGAATATGGACAATGAGCTTAAGTGACCATGAGAAGGAAAACACAGATCTTGTTAGTACCTGTATATGCACCAACATTCCGTTGAATGTGACTCTTCACTTAGTCTCAGCTACCACAGTATTAGAGAGCATGTTGTTCTACACGTAGGAAACCCTAAACCCTAAACCCTAAAGGTGACCTGCGTTAACCTCTTTAATAGGAACCCGGTCTCCAACGAGAGCTGCCACCACCCAGCTTTTGCACAGGCGCTGATAGCAGCGTTAAGGCTTATGACGTCGGGCCTGCAGCCTGGACTGCGGTCAGAAAGGAAAGCAAAACGGATCCTTTCATGAGGGTTTAAGGTTCCAAGAGCCAAGCCAAACCACAAAAACTTAAGCAGGATGCTAGGGAACATCCTAAATCCTAAACCCTAGACCCTAAACCCGAGACGCTGAACCCTAAGCCCTAAAATGGATCAAGAGGCCGGTGGTGCCGAGGTCTACTAGAAGCACCGCGGCTTTCTGCCAGAGCCGCAACCTGTGCTTTCGTTCAAGAACTTGTACCATGAAGTTACCATAGTGGGAAGAAAAAGCTTGATGCGTGTGTGTGAATATAAATACATACATACATACATACATACATACATACATACGTATTTATTTGTTTATGTATTTATGTAGTTATGTATGTATGTATGTATGTATGTACGTACGTACGTACGTACGTACGTACGTACGTACGTACGTAGGTATGTATGTATTTGTGTACGTATGTATGTACGTACGTATGTATGTATGTATGTATGTATGTCTGTATGTGCATAAAAGTATATATATATATATAGATATGTGTATATATATATATGTACATACCTGCCTGTGTCTGTATACTGATCTAAATGTATATGCAGATAAATATGATACGGATATACATAAATGAATGAATAGATAAATAAACAAATAAATATTGATATATAAACATATATATACACATATGTATGTATATATATACATACATATATATATGTATGTATTTATTCGTGCTGAAATCATATTTATGCACGTATATGCGATACCATAATAGGTACGCATAGAATCGTGTAGAACTTGCTTTCCGTATTGTAACAGATTGAACTTGAACCAAACTGCTCAGCAAGAGAGCCCAGTAACTTCTCACAAGCGGAGACCCCGCTGTTAAAGGAGATCACGTTAGGGCGCAGCTGCACAAGGATCATGTACCTTAGTGTTTAAAGTGTTTCTGGTTGTCGAACAGGTTTAGGATTTAAGGTTGAGGGCCCATGCCATGTGGACAAAGTTATGCAGTCAAACCCTGTGGGGAGGCCCTCAGAAAAGGTCGACGAATGCAACCACTGAGATACCATACGCTGCTTCTTCTTGTACTAGGATCCCCAGTAGCCTAGGAACAAAAAGTTAATTGAGTCCTTTCTTGACATTGCGTAGTTTTACAAGGAACCTAGGGCCACATAAAAAAATATAAAGGCCCAGTGGGAGACCAAGAATAATGAGGGCCAGTCTTCGAACCAATGGTCTACAGTACACTGAGTCACACAACTTGACCGAAGTAACTACTCACTTACTTGTCCATTTTCCCTTGGGGAATCATATAAGCTTCGCCTTTGGGATTATATGAAGAATAGCACCCCAAGCAAATTAAAGGTTGCTTTCTCTACTACTAAGCCACTACCTGTTTTGCTATTGGACTCTCGTCTACTTGGAGGTTCATGGGTAGTTATAAGTGGGGTTATGCGTCCCCTAATTTGGGTTATAACTATAGTTGGCCTACTTATGACCCACTTTTAACTAGCCATGAACCTCCAAGCAGCCACACCACGACCTGCTATCATCTTGATTGAGGCCGACACGCAGCACCCTAAACCCTAAACCTAAACGGGCTTCTTATTATAAAACCGTATAATGAGCCCCAAAACCCTAGTCTAATTATTCGATACCGAAGCTGCTTTGCTGAAGAGTCAAGCTGTGTGCTCATGACACCTTGAACGAACCCGAAACCCTTTTTTGAGCAGGGACTGCAATGCACTAAGCCCTAAATCCCTACACCCTAAACTAAACCCTAAAACTTTGCTAAGGTACCGCAGAAGGTCCAGGGAGATTTGCCACTTCTCCGCCTTGTCACAGGCACTGATAGCGCTGCTGCAAAGGATGACGCCAGGAGCCAGCAGCCTGGAATACATGCCTTGGTCTAGGCTTTAGGGTTTAGGGTTTATACAACTGGTTTTGTTTATTGGGCCTGGCTTCTTGACATTTTGATGCTATGTCTATGCTACTAGGTTTTCTGCGCCTGGCTTCTTAGCCAAGTTGATGTGAGAGGATAGGAACTACCGTTTTGCAACAAGCCTTCCTTCCGTTCTCGTCGTTAGAAGTACATCAACTTTGACCTTCTTGTTCCAACTACTCTTCGTGCCAAGACTGTAAATTTGTAAATGATCACTCCTGCTCCTTCCCGCTCTGTGTGAACAAAAAAGTAGCGCAAAAATATCAAAACTTTCTTGCCCAAACAAAAGCCAAGGATTCAGTGCAGCAGCTGTAGGGACACCTGCCACTGGCCCACCTTGGCGCAGGAGCCCACGGCGGATCCAAAAACTGCAGATCCTGGGACGACTCTCCAGGCACTTGCCGACCTCGTCCCAGAAAGCGCCGAAGGCCACTGGTCGCCTTACTTCTCCAGCTTCCTACAGGTTCTACGGTTTGGGGATTAGGGTTTAGGGTGTTGGGTTTAGGATTTAGGGTTTAGGGTATAGGGTTTAAGTTCTATCTAACCTTTGAGATTACGAAGGGAAGATCGCATGCCTCCACGGCTAAAAGGTTGCTGCCTCTACTATGAAGTTGCATTTGTGGCCATGACCTGCACTAGCAGCCACCATCTCCAGCCGGTGTACGCACAGATCTTGCCCAGGGGTCGAGATCACTTGGCTCTTCCAGGCCGCTTTTTTGAACCAACGGCAGCAGAGAGCCGTGGAAATCTTCCGCTACGGCATACTAAATACTAACACCCCCATCCTGCATGCTCGACCCTCAGCCGGCGAAGTTTTGACAGAAGGTTATGCCGACAATGAACTCTGCCAGTGTGAATGATGCAGACTGGCGAGAACAACGATGGCAATGAGACTGCTGCATAAGAAGAATGATGGCGCGACAAACATGTTGACTGACAGCATGGTGATGCTGGTGCTGCCACCGCTGATGCGTGCAACATGCTTCAACTTCCGATGTTGATGCCAGCACCGGCGATCTTGCACTTATCCGCATTGCATTCTTGCAAAAGACTTGCAAACTCCGACTGCTGCGCCGAATCACACACACTTTCTTTTGTTCTTGTCCGTGTTCGACTCCTGCAAGAGGCGTGCAATGCCGAAGAATCCTCTTTCATTGGCAATGCACAACGGCGTTCTGCCATCCTGCATGGCCTTCTCTTTGTCAGCATTGGCCTCCAGCAAAAGGCGTGCAGCCTCCACCTCCCCGTGCTGAGCTGCAGTGAACAATGGGGTGGCGCCATGCTGCGTGGCCTTGTCCATGTCCGCATTGGCCTCCAGCAAAAGGCGTACAACCTCCAGCTGCCCGAACGCAGCTGCAATGAACAACGGGGTAGCGCCACCCAGCGTGGCCTTGTCCTTGTCTGCATTGGCCTCCAGCAAAAGGCGTGCAACCTCTGTTTGGCCGTGCTTGGATGCCTCGAACAGAGGGGCCGGATCGCCCAAATCTGGGTCTTGCGGTCTTTGTAACAAAGTCTCCACTTCTGCTGACATGCCACGTCCCGCTGCGTCTCGAAGTGCAGTCACTTGATCGTTCGATGGTGGGCAGAAGCTTAGAAGTACGACCTGAACTTCGCCAGGTCTCAGTGTGCCATCGTCATCTAGAACCATCTTGCCATCCAAGCATACCAGCCTTTGCCTGAACCTCGACACGCCGCAAATGCTGTGCAAGTGTTGCTTCAGTGCCCGGACGGGATGCATGCCGGCGGGCTGCGTCTCGAGAAAGCTCGCCAAGTCAAGGGCAACGAGTTCTTCACCCGACACGGTCTGAATCCGCAGCATGGCCGATGCTAAGCCGAAGAGAGGCGGACTCCAAAGAACAAGCTTCGCTACATGTGCTCTGTTCTTGAAGACAGGCTTCGGCTGTTGATGCGCGTGCCGCGGCCATAGATTTGGTGGAGGTGCCGCCTCCTCAACGATGTCTGCTGCGCTGATAGTGCAGTGAATGTACGTGAAAACATAATCAAAACAAGGCTTGTAGACTCTTCTGCTATTTAGTTATATATGATGATGGTACAGGGGCCCGGATACCCTATGCTAATCGAAACGCGGTACTATTTTAAGATGTCAAGTCAGGCTCTGTGCTTGGACACCATCGGCCGAAGACTCAAAGCTGCACTCTGCATCGGCACTACGCATCCCGAACCCAAACTCCATCCCCTCACAGGGACCTCCTAAACCCTTTTGGCATCAGGACTTGTGCAATCGCCTTACGCTCTGAGCATACGGTGGTTCAGCTCTCATGACTGAACTTCCATACCTTGCCCCTAACTACCAAACCATGAAAACTACCCTAAACCCTGAAAGCCCTATGAAACCTATAATTAAACCCTAGACTCGCCCTGGACTTGAGACTTGAATCCTTACCCCCTGCTCAGACTCCGGCCCTGCCCCATGTCAGCCCAGTCACAGCTAGCACCTCTGCTACAAACATCGTATCATTGCACGGCGGCTCCGAATAGAATTGGGAAAGCGCACTTTTCATAAATTAACGAAGGGTTCTCGACATTGCTTCTGAAGTTCTGATCTCAGTACGTCGTGAGGAGTACCACCCTCGGTCAGTCTATGAGCCACCTTGACCAATAACAGAAACAATATGTTAAACAACCCCTTTACGCGATGCTACGCGCAAACCCGAAACCCCTACAGCTTAAGCCCGGAAAAAAATCCCAAGGAGAACCTACTTCCTCATGATGTGCACGAAGGACGGCTAGCAGGCTTGACGCTGGGGAACAACAAGCAACAGCTTCTTCAAATCCTGCCCGCTTTAGGTCTGTACTACCGTAGTAGTTGAAAGGCTATGGCTGCACAGGCACCTCGGTGGAAACCCTTGTCTACCAGAAAATCCGAAGGAGGCCTTTAACAGGCAGTCAGCGTTACATCTCTGTCCTGGCGTTCTGCCTTGATCAGGTTCGACCGGACCTGTCAAAGTCGGAAGGATGGTCTGAACGCAAAAGGTTGCTTTAATCTTTCAGCATCAGTTGCATGATAAACGATCGGGGAAAGTAGGAAGCCCTGCACAACTCTTGGGGGCAGGATCAAAACAGACTCGGTCCTAGGATTACAAACTTAGGGGCCCTGATACCGAGAATAGAGTGTTGGGGCACCTTATGGTATACTTATGTGCATAGCGACCATAAGAGAAGAACCTTGCCACTGATCTCGGACTTTCGTATGAAGCTTCTGGATCCTCCAGGCCGTGATACCCTTCTGCAACTGGCCTGCAAGGACTCCGCCACGTAAGGCAAAAACCCAAAACCCCTAAACCCGAAACCGCAAGCCAATCCCGGTAAAGCACGTCCAAGGCCCGAAGTCCTCTGAGCAAGCCCTGTTTAGGGTTTCGGGGTTTAGGGGTTTAGGGCTTATAGGGTATAGGGTGCGAGGGGTCCAAATTCACAGCCAAAACCTGGGAAGCTTTATACAAGTCGACCGAAAGCAGAGGCAATAGCTGGAAGAAGGCTGTGGGGTATATACGGACGCTCGCCTCCATCACAACGTAGTTTCGCGGTACAAGTGGCGCCACAGCGTAAACAAGCCGTCCTTTTCCACGAGAAGGTTGGGGGGAGAGTTGTTCGAGTTTAGGGTGCGTTCAGGGTGGGCTTCTGAATTTCAGAAGGTCTAGGGCTTCAAGATTTAGGCTTTAGTGTTTTATGGTTTTCAGCACTCACAACTGGCAACAAGCCTGGCGAGGTCTGTCTGGTGCGCCCGAAAGCACCTTGACCAATTGGCAGGAGCCGCGATATTCACGTCCCGCCTGCCTCCCTCTTGGAAACTATAGGAGCCACTTGAGCGGTTATCAAAACCTCTTTTCAATCCGTTGACGCTATCAAGCCCTTGCGCATGTATGGTGCGCGCAGCTTCCGCGGAGCCAACTTTCCCTTAGGCGCGGGCCCTTGGGTCAGGTCTTAAGCTTTGAGCCTTCCGCGCGCCCTTCCGCATTTCAAGTCTTTGCGCCCGTATCGGGATGTCCGCGGGCTCAATCCCCGGGGGCGCTTTTGGCCCGTTTTCCCAGCAAGAGTCGAGATTTTTGGGTGACCAATTGTGCCTGACTGTAGTACAACATTAGTACTAGAAGTGGCTCGGTTCCGGAAGCTGGATGAATTGTGCTTGCTTGTTGTACAACATTAGTACTGGAAATGCCTCGTTTCGGATGCAGGCTGGATTGTGTGCTTGATTGTAGTACATCATTACTGGAACTGCCTCGTTCCGGATGCAGGCTGGATTGGTTTCGGATGCTGGCCGGATTGTGCTTGGTTGTAGTACAACATCAATACTAACGCTGCAATCGTCCCGACCCAGATAGTCCGTTTCGAATAACACAATATAGAACCACAGACTCTGTGGACTTTGCACGCAAAGGAGTCCAACACAAATTGCATACCTACATTATAACAGAATGCTTGGCAAAGTATAAGGACCCGCCCGGAATGCACAACCGGAGGCCGATCCCTGAAAACCCCCCGAAACCTTTATTGAAACCGGACTTGATGACTACCAGCATTGCCTGTTCTGCCGTTCTTCAGCCGGGGCCTGAAAACGTCAGCCCCAAAACCTCAACCCCTAATACCAGACTAGAAACCCTCAGACCCCTAGAAACCTTAGGGGACCCGGACCGAAAAATAACAAAAACTTACTGCAAGCAATACAGAAATCCGCTTGAGTTCTCCATCAAACCCTAGACTCCCTAAATCCTAAGCCCCTAAGAACCCAGACCCCCAAACCCTAAACCAAAAACTCTGTAGAAGCCCTTAAAACCCTTCAGTGCCCCGAACACTGAATCCTTTCGCATGCGCCGACCCTAACGAACCCTTAAGCCTTAAAGCTTAAACCCCAAACCCCCTTGAAGGCACTTGACTTCAAGCCGTGGGGCGAGGCGAGAGCTCATCGATGACCTCACAGCTTCCCCGAGCTTTCTTATGTGGGGTTTGATAGGGATTTGTGAGGTTTTACATAGGATTGTGTGTGGGTTTAGGGTTTAGGCTCTTGGCTTGTATGGGTTTTAGTGGGTTTGATTGGGGCTGCTTTGGAATGTTTTGGTAGGGATTAAGGCATAAGTAAGCATTTACAGGTTTCGGTGCTAAAGCTTCACCGGGGGTTTGAAAGGGCTTGCTAGAGCTTTACCCGGCTTTGTACAAGGGCTTAAAATCCTGCACCGTGAACCCTGGAATAAGGCTCCTTTCCGAAAGGGGTCCGCAATGAATATTCTATGCTGAATACGATAAGGGTTGGTATCGAGGCCTGACCACATGGTGCTATAAGCAACCCTGGGAACAGTATGACTAATGTATGAAGAGTTGAGACTGAGCTTACGGGTTGAGGTTGAGGTTTTTGGGCCGGTGGCTTGGGGCTTGCGGTAGGGCTTGTAGTAATTACTTTTCAGTTTAAGTCTTCGGGCCGTAGGCTTTGGGATGCTTTGGGGCTCAAGCGTAGTAGACCTAGTTCACGGCTGTCGGCGGTTAGGATCGAGGGTCGTTCTTTAGCTCAGTATTTCAAAAAATCGACGCCCGCCTGGGCCCAAGGCTCGACCCGCACGCCGCAAGAAGGTTCAGGGTTTAGGGATGATAAGTGCCTGGAAGCTTGCGGGTAGTTGCAGAAAGGAAGGTAAGCCTTCGCAAACTATAGACTTGCCGGCGCCCCGAATTAAGCTGTACAACTACTCGTGGACACGTCTGGGACAGTCCTCAAGCAAAAGGCAACACTTATCATGACTAAACCCTTTTTGCATCTGGGCTCCATGAAATTGCCAGACACGCCAAACGCTTAGTTCAACCCCACACCCTAAGCCCTAAATCCTAAACCCCCACTTGTAAAACCGAAATCCTAAATCCTAAACGGTGTAAGTCCTACAAATCCTAACCCTAAACTTGTCCTAAGCCCGTCAAGTGCGACAGAAACCAACAGAATCTCGACGATTGCCGGGCTGCCTGAATGCCGAAGTTCACATCGGGCTTGTCGTTGCAGTTCTTCAAGGAAGTTATCCTCTCACAGGTTTCCATGAAGGGTTCTATGACCCTAAACCCTAAACCCTAACAGCAGGGTTCTTTAGCATCCTGATGTCGTGCGTCGGGGAATAGAAAACGTGTAGGCGGTGTCAAGGCTAAGGTTTGGGGTTTAGGGTTTTGGGTTTAAGGTTTGGGGCATTGGCTGGGTTCAGGGTTTAGGCCCCGGCTGGGATTAGGGTTGAATCCACCTTACAGTGAGTTTGGGCTTCCCTAATACCAGTAACACATACATACATACATACATACATACATCCATCCATCCATGCATGCATGCATACATATATACTATGGTTTCCCAAACCCCGAAACCTATTTGCGAAAACCCTGCTGGCGTCCTCTTCGTACGCTCTAGAACCTTTACAAGAGCTTGTAACCTGCTACACCCCTTGTGAAATCCTTGTAGTAGGACTCTTTCAATATACCTTTATAAACTCTCAGACCCCATAGAATCCTATAAGTTTTTAACTCCTATAAGCTTTTTTTTGGAGCCTA